GAGGACCCCCAAATTACGCACTGGGTCTGTCTGGGGCAGTGCTACCCCATCCAAGACCAACTATGACAATGTCCCTTGTTACAAGAGTTTCTCCACCATACCTGAATAAAAGAGGATTTAGGCATTTTCTCCAAGCTAACCCTAAAGGTCGCATCTGGTTTTAGTTGTCTGATTATTATTTTAAGCACTGGTTATATCCAGTGGTATTTATAAGCTGATGAAGCAGCCCACAAAACAGATTACTCTTCCAGAGCAGATCTGTGAAGTATGATATAGTCATGGGAAATCCTATTGTACAAAAAGTTTGCTTTATGCAATATAGTAATTGTATATGTTTTCCAAGGTTCGGGGCAGTTTTGTATATTCTTCTTATATATAAAACATTTGGATGATAAAATAAATGAAACTAATTACCTTTGAGTGGCAGTTTCTTTTCTATTTTCTCTTGCCTTTCAGACCTGTCTATCTGGATTTCTGCGAGCAAAGAAAAGAACCCAGTAATTAGAGGAAGAGAAACTGTTATGGTTTCATTGCCGTGAAGGAAGACCAGTGCAAACACATAAAAGTTGACACATTTACAACTGAAATATAGGAATTCTGATGAATAATATACTCACCATGCATAAGGCATCATTCTTGACATGTCCTATTTTGAGCATCCAAACTTCCTTTTTTTAACTTTTGAAAAATGAATAGGTTTTCTCCTGTATGCTATTGTGGATTATTTTCCAATAAAAATGAGTGGAGACCATGTTGAACAGGTATTTGATTCTGCTTGATAACTTAGGCAACAAAAAGAATGCATCTTCTGATAGAATTGGTTTCAAGGCTTGCATTTTCTGCTTGCTGACATCAAGGGCATTGTATGCAACCCCTTTGCATGTGTTTGGGTAGGAGACTGCTTAACCAAGCCTGCCAATGCACAGAATATAGACATACTCCAATAGCTATAATATTACCTTTTAGTGGTGGCTTCGTTTCCACTTTCTCTATTTTTTCAGGCTTGTCTATCTGGATCTCTGGAAGCAGAGAAAACATTACAGATGCATAAAGACTGGAATATTATGTTTGAAGTAGAGAGATACTCCTTATACTTTGCTCTGGGTAGGATTTCTGCTTTCAAAATGTATTCCATCAAAAAAAAAAAATCACTTAAGGTAAAACCTCAACATTCAGTTCAGAATTGGCTTTCAGAGAAATGTAATGGAACTGCTCTGAGCCATTTTCCTAGTGATAGTGATACATTTTGCTCTTTCTCTCGGTGGCTTTGACTGAAGCCCCGGATACCCCAGATGTGAAGAAAATCTTCCTTGGGTAAGGTGCTCAAGTAGGTCTGGATCTAATCAGATTGCAACACAACTGATTCTGCTGTTCCAGTTCAATCAGATTCCAAGTTTGGTTTCAGACATTTTTTGGCTGTCCTATGTGATGACTCTTGGTGGCAGAAGCTGGCACATATAGAGATTCTCATGTATAATTCTCATAATAGATGTATTCTGCAACATATTTTCCATAATATAATACCTTTTGTATACATTCCCCTATAGATTGTTGGTCAGAAAAAGATTTCACAAAATTTGGGAAATAACTGTGTTATGGTTTCTGTAGTGGTTCCAAAAGTATGAATTAAGCAAGTTTGCTTTAAAATGTGAACCAATTGATTTTTTTATTCCATCCCAAGAGTAGATGTATATAATGGTTTGCCCCTATGTGTGCTAACAAGATGTTAAGATTTCAGAGGCTCTTGACCAACTGTTCCCACTGAACAGAATGCAGGGTCTTACTTACAAGGCTTTTTCAGTAGTGGCCTATGGTTTCTGAATACAGTCCCCATAAATTTTGTCCTGATACTCATTTAAGTGGCATGTCACCACTGACTGAAGGAGTTCTCTTTTTTCAGGCTTATAATATCTTAGTTTAAAGCTGCTCTAAAGGAATAATTTTAATTATTTTTCTTACATTTTAAATTGTTGATTACTCTCTATGACTTGCTTTAGTTATAGCATATGTCATAAATATTGTAAATAAGTAAACATACAAAGCTAAAGACAAAGAAAAAAAATGAATTTATCTTGCTGAACAACTGCAAAAAGATAGAACAGGAAATTATAGATTGATATAATTAATAACCTCTTGCTCCAAGGCTATTCAACAAGTTTTCATTTCCTTCCAAATGTTTTGGAAATACAGTCTCTGTTGCTATTTCTTATAATTAGCCAATTGATTTTATATTCACGGTTATGTAGATGCAAGTAGAATGTAAGTGGTTTCCATGACATTTTATGGGATAATTGGCAACAATGCTGGAACGAATAGATTCAAATCAAGGTTGATGGACCTAGGACTGGTAGACTATATTGGATACTTTAGTTTGCAGCCAAGTCTGAATATGCATTTGGGTACGTAAGAAATGCACCCAGGAGAGCTATTTTATGTACAAGAATGCAAAGGATTTACTACATACTTTAATGGAAATCATTTCATGCATTTTTGGAAACAAAAGACGAATATTTATGACGATGAAGATTTCTGGATCTTTGTTATTTGTGCACAGACATAATCTCCAGCAAAATAGTTCACAAACTGGGTTCAGCACAAATAAGAAAAGCACATCAGACTTATTTTTATAGTTAGTAGTCCCATGCAGTGCTTTGGATTTGAAGAGATAAAAGCGCTTCACAATATGCAGTGGCACTCATGCAGTGTTTGTCAGCAACTCTTTAAAACAGCTGTGTCATTTCTCAGGATCATGAGGCTGCCCTCCACAGTTGCAGCACAGGAAAAGTTACATTTAGTTGAAGGAGCTGCTGAAAGGTGCCCTGTGTGCACCCACATTCACTCTGAAGCACTATTTCCCTTTGAAAAAAAGCACTGCCTGGTCCTGAAGATTAGTGTCAGCAGTCATTTATTGGTTAATCACAATGGAAGAAGGAGCAAGATGAAGGGAACAGAGGAATAGTATCTGCTCATTTTGCTGGGTTCTATGTGGGAAAATTGCTCTTTTTAAAATTTGAAATCTGGGAAACTTAAGTAGCTAATGGGTCACCTGAAAAGGTATGGGGAGGAAGAGGGTTGATATTTAGGCCATTTAACCTAAAGATTAATCCATGGTTGTCCATTCCCAGCCATGGTGGCACATTTTAATAGGAAGGGCAGAGGTTAAGCCAGTTCCTGTTGCAAACCCTGAATACATGTCTGTGCTAGTTAATAGGGTCAATTTTATGGCTCAAAACTTTGTTGCCCCCTAAAACAGGGTTGCAACCTTTAGTGGCCAGAAATAATAGGTGGAGAAGTGATATAAAGGGAATTGAATTGCATCCACTTTCTGGCTAGAGTTTTGTTTTGTTTTACAAAAACTCAGTTAAATCTATTTTAGGTTTAATACACAGCTTTTGTGGATTTCTTCCTTCAAAGTGCAAGGCTATCAAAATGTAGCACTGCTGTCAAGAGGACTCTGGGTCCTACAAAAATTATTTGGAGATTGGTGTGGGCAGCCTGAACCTAAAGGAATGCTAAAATTTTAATGTGGAATGAATCACATTCTTTGAAGCTTCCTTTCACGATTTTTTTAAATAGCATGTGCTTTAATTTTCAACTAATCACATCATATCTTTTTGCTGAGTTGTGAAAGCAGTTGTATTTTTTATAGAAGCATTACATGGCCAGCTGAAAGGATGCAATTTATCTCCATCAGAAAGGCATATTTTTAATAAATCCAAAATATTATGAATTCATTTTTAGAAAACTGCCAGAATCCTGCAGTAGCAAGGATAATCTCTGTCACCAAGGCAACCACCCTGATTCTTCATGAGATGGCACCACAGTTTATTAAATTATTGGGGGAGAGTATGTATTTAAAAATGTATTTCATTGCTTCTTTTTCATTAGCTACAAGGAAATAGGACAAAAGAAAAAAAAGAGAAAAAAATCCTCAGCTTCTTAGATTGCTGATTTTATAACAGTTTTCTCACTGATGACATGAGGATGCAAAGCAGCTATACTGTAGTTAAATAACTGTTTTATATCCCGTAAACTAAAAGCTTGTTGAGAAACCATTTGGCAAGATATGATTCTCTACACTTTTGGCTGATCTGTATAGCCCATGTGATGCCAGACGTGGAAAGCACTGAAGTGACAAATGATGACTATGTCCACACACGGCTCAGGAAAATATTCTCCAGGTTTAAAACACAAAGAAAATGCTAGTGTGTTAGAAATGAGTGCACAGAAAATCCTTATAATGAAATATATCACACAAAGACTTTGATCAACTAATGTCACAGCACTGTTATGTCTCCTTCAGCTTCAATGACATTTTAGTTTTGTTCTACTGGAGGAATCTGTTCTGTCTCCAAATGGCTACACTACATGTAATGTGCTCGACTCTCTGTTAAAATGCATGGAACTGAAAAGCACAAACTTTGTTTCAATAAGAGCAGATTGATATTAAGTGGCCAGATAAATCTCACCCTTACTAAAGTCTTGCTAATATCTTAGGACATGTTTAATGTTAAAGCTATCAAAAATCTTAATTATAGTGTCTTGATATCTTCCTGCATAAAACAGTCCAGAAGAGAGGTATAGGGCGGGGCTGGGGGACAGACATTTATGTAAAAGAATCACCTCAGCCAATTGTGATGGGAATCACTATCAGCTACCCATTCCCTCTCTTTCTCATTAGAAATGAGAACAGTATCTTCAGCTGCCGACTTCAACTATTTGAAAGATCCCATTTCTCAGAGCACTAAGGAGCTTCATTCTCTTAGAGGCTTGGCATAGCGTCCTTCCACATAAGTATTTACTTTCCACATAAAGTATTTCCACTTGGCTAATATATGAGCATACACTACAGTCAACATGAAGAATTTATAATCGTAACAACTTGTAGCCCATGTCCTTACTTGCACCTAAACACAACGTAATCATTCCTTGAGAACAGCAACTTCCTCCCTTCCCTTCATCTCAGCCCAGCCCAGCCCATTAGTGAAACAGACCTAAATTGTTATTGATTGCATGTTCCTCCTTATTCCAACAGTGTCCAAGATAAACAATTTGTGTTAGTCATTCACTACCTTGGAATGAAGTCAGTTGACTAGCAGTGTTTGGCAACAGAAGCAGAACGGGGTTTACACTGGGGACAGCAAATTTCATGTTGTAATTGCTTTCTGCTGGTTCATGAATGGGTGGTTAGCACAAAAGGATACTGTGCTGACTTCAGTTTGGGGGAAAAAATAGTGTCCTTCCTGGACTTAAACTATATAGGAGGCAAGTTCTACATGCATTAGAAGTCCTTACTTGATCAGTCTTACAAAATGTGATCACCTTTTTGTAAGACTGAGAATAACAGAGGAAGAGAATTTTAAGAATCAAAGATACAAATAAAAACAAAAAGGATGTTGTGTCTTTCTTTTCCTGAAGAGCAGACACAACCTTTATTAACAATTGTATTTGTGGATACACTGAAGTAGTCAGTTTGCTTGCCATCTAATATTTTGATTTGCATTTTTTAAATATTTAAGTTTCTTATGTAAAACACTATAAGAACTTAAGCTAAAAACATTATAATGTAGGAGGAATCACTTAACTTCCTACAGAATGCAATGTGAACTTAGCAAGCCAAAGTCATTTGCAAGGAAAAAAAGAAAACCTGAATCAGGCAAGTAAAGGTATCCTGACCTGCAGTAATTTAAAGTCTTCAATACATAAAGTAGTGCTCAATGTAAATGACAGATGGAATTTACACTCTGCCATTCTGTCTGGAATAGCACTGTGGTGCTCATTCTAAGTTTTTTGTATGCCAAATTAAACAAGGAAACTATGGATGAAAATCTTAACTGTAGAAAAATAATTGGAATCACCACCACGAGAAATGTGTAAATATTTAGATCAGTCTAAATATGGTCTGTGTCAGAATCCCTTGTAGTCACTTATTATTTTCCTTTAATTATCTGTTAGCTTTTTTGTTAAATCACAAAAAAATCTGCTTTTTCTTTTCTGTTCTTTTCTTAGTCACTTTCTA